CAATACTTATTTGTGCTGCTAAAAGAGTCTTTGCGTCAGTCTGGGTTTCTTTTAAGTTTTCATTATCTTTACCGTTTTCCGTATTCTGGTGCTCAGGGGCCGTTTCAGTGTAGGCAGTGGTTATGAGCCCTTTTTTTGTTCGTTTGTGCAATTTTGATTGAAGGGGTGGCGTCTCATGGAAGTCATCAATGCCTAACAACAGCAATGCCTAATGCGTAACATTGCCTATTCCGGCCCTAGTACTTGTTATGATCTGAGCAAATTTAATCCCAATTTCCAGAGGTGTAGCGAGTTCTTTCGGCGAAGCTTTGCTTAAATTAATTGCCATGTTGCATCATGGGGGGGGGAAGGGATTATTAGAGATGTAATTGCAGTACCAATAAGAGTATAAGAAGCTGTTATTTTCACATGGTGAATACAGCAAGTCACTGAAATACTGTCAATGTGCCCCTGTTGGGAGTGACGCCCCAAGAGTTTGACCTGACTGACAGTATCGCAAATTTTTAGCAAGTAATTTTCTGAGGCAGCGTTTTTGCACAAAATTTGTTTTTGAGCTGCAACGTAGATTCTGGAGGCTTGTGGATATAACAGCTTCTGATGTACAACACATTTACAATACAAGAAGATGATCATATCGATAGTACAATTAAGCTATACATGTTGTTACAAAATGTAAGCTGTAAACACGACTTTATAACAGGGTGTAACTCGGAAAGAGTTACACCCTGTTAATTTTTACAAGATTACAAGATTTGAGGAATTTTCAGGTCTTTTATGATGCATCATATGGAGGCATCGTTGCCCCAGAACACGATCTGTAATGTGGAGACAAATGGAAAATTACTCAAAGTAGCAATTAGTAAGATCAGATCTTCTGTCTTCTTTTAGGGATATTTCCCAAACTAAAACCAATATGGATATCAAACTTAAATCAATGGAAAGAGAAACATTCGACCTTTCAGATGCCACCAAGATTGCCAGATTTGAAGAATTGTCAAGTCTTTTATGGTGCGATATATGGAACCAGTTTTGGGTGGGAACAGGATCAATAATGTGCACACAAAGCTGAAATTCCAGAAAAATAACGAGCAGCAGAGCCTTCTTACGCGGATATTTCCCAAACTAAAAGGAATATAGATATGAAACTTACATCAATCGAAAGAAAAACATGTGCTTTTTCAGATGCTGATGAGTTAAATGTCTCTCGGCAGAAGTTAAAAATCAAGAGACATTAATAAATTTCTTATTTGTCAAATTTAGGAGGAATGCTGAGAAACATTTCAACACAACAACAAATTATCAAATATAAGACTTCTCAGCAATGAAGGCCAAAAAAATATTTTCTGCTAAATGTTGAGTTGAATCAACAGGTACCTTTTTTTTTTACAATGTTGAGGACTCAACTGTGTGTCAGAAATCTAAGAGATGTCAGTTACTCGTCCCAAAAAAGGGATTCTCTCAGTGTAAATGTATGCCGAGACAAATATGATTATTGCATCTAAGAAAAACAGATTTTCCTCGTCGCCTATGTAGTATTTGGCTATCTTACCGGGGATCCCGACAAGTGGCCGGTCTGAGTCTTGGAATCACAGCAAGTACATGTATACAATAAAGACAAAGTGTTCTATGTAACTGTATGGTGCTATTCACAAGTCTGACCCGTCGATTGGGCAGCTTTAGTTGACGCCCAGTCAAGTCACGCTTCAGTACCTTTATTCACTACACCAATATTCAGACTTGTTGACTTTGTAAGTGACTCAGTCGGTTGACAAGCTTCTTTACTGAGTACCGAGTACATCACAACCGCACAACTATGTGCGTAAAAACCATTAGCGCAGGAACCAGCGTGTGAATGCATGCGCATACTCCATTCATTGTACATATACTTCCTGCCCTTCCCATTTTTAAATGATGTCACACTTTGACACTCTAGCTTTGACCCACAGACGTCATCGAGCTCTGTTCCTCAGAGAACCTGATGTTATCCTAAGGTATCTGGCATGCCACTATGTCAGGTCCTAGTTTGTTACTTTCATTTAGAGTATGGTTAACGCAGGTTTTTACAAGAATGAGTTCCAAGTTAATTGCTCAACGTCCAACCTACCAGGGGACTAATTTCTGTCTGGCTTCGACATACTTGTCATTCTATGTGTACTAGTTACTCCCACCAGTATAGCTCCCAAGATCATTAAAGCACACAAACATTTCCACCGATAAGATAATAGTTGTGTCATGAATGAAATCTGGAATAAACAAGTTTTATCTAATTTTTGCCAAAAGTAGAGAAAACAAGTTGTAAATATGATTAAAACATAGAATTTTCACTGACGTCTAGTGAAGGTACTGATTGTATTGCTGGTAATGATGATGCAGCTTATATAGTTGGTCATGCTGCTTTTGTTGGTGATGCATTCCAAATGCTGCTGATGCTAATGAAATACCACCATTTGAGGATGGTGATGGTGGTTTCAGTTTATGCTGGTGGTGATGATGCTGAGGATGTGGGGGTGATTTGGCTACTTTGAGCCTGGTGGTGTTGCTGTTGCTGCTCATTGAGATGATGTTGTCTGTGTCTTGTTTGCTACTGGTTTTGACAAAGCTGTTTCTGCTGTTGATCAGGGTGATTACAGTGATGTGGAACAAGATGATTCCTGGTACACTTGCTTTGTTGAAAAGGCTGATGATCAGTTGATAATAATGTTGATATAGTGCTGGTTATCTTTAATGATATGGCTGATGTTAGTGATGCTTCCATTGCTTATGCTGCTGTTAGTGCAAATAATGAGAACACTGATAACGATTAATTTTGGTTTTGTTTTTGATATTTGTTTTGGTTTGGATTTTGTTTCTTTTGTCTTTTTTGTTTTTCCTTTGTTTTCTTTTGTTGCGTTCTTTGTTCCTTTTTGTTGTCTTTTGTTTATATTGGTTTGTTTTGTTTCTTATGTTTAGTTTGGATGGGCTGGGCTGAGGTGTTATGGGTGTGGCAGGGTTGGTGGGATTTGTGTTTATTTTCGTTTCCTTTCATTGAACTGTATTTTTTGTTTTACTCTTAATTTACTTTATTGTACTGTACTTTGTTTTTTTATTTCACTTTGTTTTGTTGTTCTTTTTTTCTTTTCTGTAATATTTTATTTAAATTTGTTCTTAAGTTTTGTATTTTTTAATTTAGGTTTCATTTTTATTTATTTTATTATTTATTTTACATACTTTTACTTTTCATTTTCTTATATTGATTGATCTCAAATCATGTTCACCCAATAGGGCAAGGACCAGTTAAAGGTTTTCTTTTTTCTTTCTGGTATGTTTTGTTTAAAATGTTCTTATTCTTTAATATTTTGTTTTATTTCTTATTTTATTTTTATAGTTGATGCTGAGGATAACAGATGTCGACTCGAGGATGATGTTAAGTCTCATTGACTCTTTTGATGTTGATGCTGCTGCTGCTGCTTATGGTGCCATTTCTGCTGATGCTGAAAATGATGGTGATGATGAAATGATGCTGACATAATTTTGATGCTGCTGTGAGTGATGCTGATTTATTGCAGTGGCTGCTGCAAGCTACCTCTGATTATGCTGTGCCGTTAATACAGGCTGATGCGTGAAGGTGATGAGATATGCTGATACTGCCGAGTGTGGAGATGATATGTTGGTTATGGTGATGGCCATGGCTACCAAAGTGTGGTGCAATTGCTAAGTGGGACAATGAGATGACGAATTAGATCAAGAGTGACTGGGACATTGGAAAGGAGTACAAGACTGTTGGCCAAAAATAACCTTTTGGCGCCTCCCATAGAAATACAGTTCTTTTATCGCTGATGTTTCTGTTACTTTATTATAGGGGAAAAAAATATGGAACGCTTCACGATTTTGCGTGTCATCCTTGCGCAGGGGCCATGCTAATCTTCTCTGTATCGTTCCAATTTTAGTATATGTGCAGCCGGAGCTAGCACAATTAAGGTGTTAATCACCCTGTAATTTATCTGCCACAAATTAGACTACGTTTTAGATCACGGTACCGTATGATAAGATACGTAAAATTGTACATATCAGCCTTTAACTGTTGTATTCAACATTATACATTCGAGATTTATATTTTGTGTTGAAGACATTGATTTTCACTACTATAAGATCAAAATGCTAAAAGAAAATCATACATTCTGCCTTCAGAACAGGAATATTTGTTCAGCATTAAACACTACCGTTAACAACAAAAGGCTATTATGGTACGCATGCGCGCTCGCACGGCGTAGCCTTTTTGAGGTGCCGTGGGTACTCATCCGTCCAGTTACCTAATAATACAACGACACCATACCCAGCATTGCCGGGAACAATGTTGAATTCGAACTACGTGAAAAATCGATGAAAAAGCTTTAAGAAGCAAAAAGACTGTGTGCGTTGTTAAAGGAAGTCAGATCAAGGTTTTAAAAAGCGAAAAGACTATGTACGTTGTCAAATGAAGCCAGAGCAAAGTACCACGCATGCGTGGAGTGAACCATTATTGCACAGGGGTTCAATTTATTTTCATGATATGCGTTACCGTTTTCACCAAGAGGCAGACATGTAAAAAGTAGCATTTTCTCGATTTCGATTACATTCATGTTACAGGCCACAATCTCGTTAAGTGCATTTTGTGTTTCACGAAGAGACAAATGTTACTGCCCCTCGTAAACGAACAGAACGTATTGACTGGAAGGGCAGAAAAGTAGGTCAAATAAGATTTTCGTTTTCACGAAGAGCCACACATCTTGTTATATACAGTGGTTACTTTTCCCCGTTCCCTATGGAAAATTACATTACACAGATGAGCCAAAAAGTAGGAAAACATGGATTTTCGATTTCACGATCAGACGCGCATCTTGATAATTGATTTCGGCTAATTAACCTTTGTGTTCATTTTAATTAGCTGGTTCAGGCAAAAGTTTACCTCAGAAAATCATTGAGTTTTTTTATTGCATTAAGTTGTGCTATATCGGTACTTTTGCATTTTTGAAATAGAAGAAGCTTCTAGGGCGATTTCTAGAAAACCAGCTTTTCTTGAAAATGTACGTGTGGCTTCAAGAAAACGGTTACTTGAACGGTAGGCCGATATAACGTTTTGCAAAGCGTCGTTGAGTAGATGGATATTGTACACCACGTTCCAACACCTTTTGCCGCAATTTCACTTCGTACTGTAGCGTGAACTATCGGGGCTCTTGCCCTGAAAGACTGGCGATGATTTTGACAACCCCGGCCGTCAGCCCTGCTTGTACGTGCGTGGCGAAAACACTGCACGGTATGTTGCGCAATACCCTTCGCTGCAGCAGGTTTGCTTTTAACACGGACGGTACATTGCACTCGGGCCGTTATGCTTTGTGAGTGACCTTGAAGCAGTTGCGGCACTCTCACCTTGCTCACGTGCGTGCCTTGCCCTGCCTGGTCCTTAAACTGCCTTGGACAAGGCTGCCCTATTTACGCACAGCCGAAGAATTCCAGCCATAAAATTCCATGATGCCATTTTTCGATTGTAAAAAAATCCTCATTCTCTCCCATAGGGATTTGAAACAATGCGGTTGCAACAATGAAAAAAGAAGAAGAGATAGCAGTACCGAAGAATAAAAAAAGGGAACGTATTCAGAAGCACATGGAAACAAATACAAGCAATGTAAGTGCGTTGCGCGTAATGCGCACTGAACGCGCTGCCATCCACCGTTTAGCCCACCGTTTGCCCATACTTTTTAAAATCACGGTTATTATATGTTCAAGACTGGCGGTCTATGCGTTACGATAGCTGTGATCCGCCCTGAGCTGAAGTGCACCCTCACCTATAAAAGAAAGACAGATGGGACTTAAGTTCTCCAACCGGGTTCTTGCACGCGTTCGGCGTGCACACAAAGACCATTCACACTAGATTAAATTTCTACAGGTCAAACGCGTATAAACCCGTGCGCCTGTGCGGTGAATGCCTACCAAACAAAAGACTGTAAGTTTCATTTCAGAACATGCCCTCTTTTGTTCCTGCTCGGAGCGGATAACTTCGTATAATTTTCCCCGCCCTGGAACTTTGTCAAATCCCACGTAACCCGAACAATAGAACCCCAAAATAGAAGTAATTCCCCGAGCACGCCCAGTGTTCTACATTTACTAAAGACACGGGTCAGGGCGCTCCACCGGCGGGTAGCAAGAGCATCAAATGACATTTATAAACTCAGACAGTTTCCCTATTCAACAACGTGCAACTTGACAGTGTATTGGTGTATCTTCGATTTTCCTTTTCTGCGCACCTAAGGCATTGAAACCGTTCCAGAAAACTCCAGTGTCATCGAACCAGTTCACACTAAAAGTTACTTCCTTTTGTGCTGAGGAGTAGGTAGGTTTTACTGGGTTCGAGTAAGGGTCAGAATTTACGTTGAATTTGCAAAACGTTTAGCAACATTTCAATTTGCCATTTAACCGTTTGGCCAACAAACAATAAAGGCCGCCGGATGTCAGCTCCGTTTCCGCCTGGGTTTTTTAATGCAGGTATGTAGCTCAACAACAATGGGCATTTGTGGTCGTCCGAGTGTATGCCAATGCCCTATTTTTGACGACATAGGACTTTCAACAAAAAAAAAAAGAGAGAGAGAGAACGGAGGATGCAATTTATCACTGTGTAGGTAGGAGGAATATATTCATTTGGCCTGTTCAGTAGAATGTTTCAAGAATTATTAAAGGATCCATGAAATGACGTTTTCTCAGACTCACTTTTTGTGTGTCTCTGTACTCTTCTTAAATATATGAAGACCGCGTGACTTCTTTTGAGTTACGTGAACTGAAAAATGCACTTTTTAAACATTCCAAAATGACCCAAGCATTTCTGAACAAGCGAGGGCTTTTTTCCTATGATGTAAATCAAGGAAGACATGGTTCAGTTTGCATGTTTTTATGTTCAAATTGTGAACTCCAAATTTGCTATCTGAAAAGGCTGTGCAAAGGTTGCTTGCTTGCTTATTGTTATATACTTGCACTATAAATTGCAAAAGGAAATGAAATCTACGATCGTAGTGTTTAAAAAAATCTTGAAATTTTCTGTGCACAAATGAGTGCCTCTGATGACATCATAGTGTTGCTCATGGGTATGCAAATATGAATTAGCATAAAAAAAATCAAAACTAAAAAAAAAATTGCAAAACAAAAATTTTAAATCAGGTTAATTGAAACCCGGAGGTGCAATTTCTAGGGTTTTGGTGCAGTTTATTAAAATATTTCTGTTAATGCCTTTTCATTTATCTAGGGCTGTACAGCAAAATGGTAATCCACTCACTGCTGAAAAAAATCCTGGCTAGCGGCAAAGGCAGCGGTCAGGCAGCGTGTTCGGGGGGCCCCTTGATATTCCATGGTAATAGTGTTTCTTGGCAACAATGGCATAATTCTGGGACTGCCTAAAAGTAAACAATGCCACCAATGACCGCTTTGCTTTCAAAGAATCAACTTATTTATTGGATAAGGATTTACGATCAATGCATCTGCCCAGCAAGTCTTCCTAGAAATAGCAGCATCTGATATGTGACCCAGACCCAAGTACTTAAAAATATACATTGATCGAGTTTGGGCGGCCTGTTCTTGGCACGGGTTTCTTGTTCTCGCGCTCAAACGGCGGGAACATGACTCAAGAACACTGTTCTTGGAATAGGATCACACACCACCTCCTCGTCAGGGTTTTACAGGAACACACGGAAAAACTCGTGAGATTCTGATTTTTGAACAGCTGCAAAAGTAGAGAGATGGCTTCCAAAGCCATAGAAAATGGGAAGTGTTTGCAAAATTTAACATTAATTATTTTCCTTAACACAGAAATGAATGTTCCTGTTTATATAGAAAAAAGTTCAGCCCATCCAAACATTAACTCTCGAATAACGTAGCCTACATGGACGCCGCCATATTGAATGTTGCTTGTCACTAACTACCAGCGATAACCAGTTAATTGTTTCCGGCGTTCGAGCGGCCGACCCGCGAATAACAAATCGACTGTTCGTGAACAAACGGGAACAAGCCGCCCGAACTCGGCCTTTGTGTCTAACGGAACAATAGAGCTGTCAGTCACTCCTTGGGAGGTTTCCTTTTCTGCAGAGCTTGGAAGGATTTATTTTTGAAAGTTTTTTTCATCGGGACTTGCCGAGCCACTTGAAAATAATCAGTTCTCCCCACGTATTTTTGGTGTATTGGCATCCAAGTCAGATAAAATCATGACATTAAGTGATAAAACAGCTGAATATTTTTGTTCAATGTTTACAAAAAGTAAACCTTGAGTTTTTTTCAGTTTAAGCATCTTTATTATTTTGTCAAGTAAATTATGGGCAATGAAATCTCCACAGTAAGCACTAGAACATGTTTGTTTAAGTTTTAGAAGTAAATGAAAGTTTGTTCAATTTAAAACGTTCGCCAATTTATTAATTTCATGTTTAATGAGAAAATTAACAGGACAGGTGGGGAAAAAACCCCAGGAAATTTTAGAGTTGAAAACAAAGGAACACCTGCAATAATTTTCTCTTTATTTCTAATTTGAAATTCAGAATCATTTCAATGTTTTGTAAGTAGAAAAAAAATTGATTTTGAAAAGACGACTTCCGACTATAAAGGATAAGATGAAGTCGCACAAGACGCGCCACACGACAAGAAATATTTATTTCATGCATGGCTTCACTTGGGCACTGTACCTCTGTTCAACCCTCGAAAATATGTCAGTCAGCGACGGACGGCGCGTTCGTGAGAGCATCGGAGATAATTCCCTTGGGCAGGGTACTTTCAGGCTAGACTGGCTAGCTCCAAGAATTTTTACCTTTGGTCCGTGTTTTGCAGCAACAGTGATTTTCACGCGGCGCAAGGTCACCTGTTTTGTATAAAAGCAAAGTCTAAATTTCTGCTACGAGCCTCTTCCTATTAATTAAATGCAACACATGAACATAATATTCAAGTTAAAAAAACGTTTATTTCTCACATAAAACACCCCACCGATAAAACAAGCACAAAAACGTGTCCTGCTGTTTCTTTTCACTTTTGCAAACTTGAGTAGTCTACAAAAAGTAACTTGGGTAATGATTACATTTATCTCCAACTGGCCCCCACGACTCTGCGCGAAATTAATTCCGATCTTAAAAGTCAACATTGCATTATCGGCACTGCTCTTCTTTCTCCAAGTGAAACTAGATGCATTGGAAGTGCAGTTTACTAAATTGCTGAGATTGGATGAAAATTACAAAGGTTGGTCATTTTGTGAGGATGACACTCTTCTTGTATCATTCTTTGACTTATTAAAGAATATTAGCATGTTGACGTTTGCCGGAAGCAAAACGCTTCTTTTGCTGTTGACAATATTTCCAGCAGCCGAAAATACACACTCTGAGGGAAGAGATGTCGGGGGATAGTGAGGAATTTCCGTGCTAACTTTGACATATGAGGGAAGAGAATACTCTTATCTCGCCACCAGTTAATGGGGTCTGCTTCATTGTTCAAAGAGGGTCCGCACATGTATGCATCAAACTCTGCTTGAGCTACTGCAGCTGCATCAACCTTTGTCTGTGCATTGTCTTCTCTGTTTCCAAGTAAAAAGTCCATGCCAGATGCCGGTCGGGTTTTAGTGGGCTCAAAAACAATGAATTAAGAACAGAGTACGTTGTATGAAGATTCATTTGAATAAATCATCAAAATCATCATTTAATTCTGCAAAGAACAAAAATGGACATACTTATGAGTGACATTGCGTTAAATCAATCCGAGCCGTCTGGATAAACCATTTCTGGTAAATTTGTTGCAACAAAGTCATTTCAATTTTTAAACAACATTATGATCTTCACAATCGTTACGATGCGTGTGTCATATCGAACAGAAGATTCAAACTTACTTATCAGATACACCGTCCATCAGTTCAGCAACAACCAGCAGTTCGTTAACAGATACAGTCTACAACAGATGCAGTTCACAACAGATGCAGTCGAACTGGATGACATAAGATTTATAATTGATATCATAAAGCAGGAAACTGTACACACTAACTGCTGTAAAACTGACATAAATCTAAAGCGAGGGGGCGTAGGGGGTAGGACTGGGCATCAAACTGATGATGCGACGAGAGACATTCATCTTGAGGTTCTTTGAATGTGCCGTTCAATAACAGGGAGAACGTAGATGATCTCCAAAAAATCCCCCAGTAATGGCACAGCCTGGCTACCGTGGCTAAATGGACATCTAGAACCAGTTTCACAAATCAGGTTACTAAACACAGTGAAACTGCCGAAAATAGTTGAAAAGTTACTCCGGACGAGCACGTCTCCGGCAGGGCTGGAAAAAATGGCAGCTCATCCTTTACTATGGGGAGTCTTTTTTCCGTAAAATAGCTTCTTTTTACCTGGCAAAATATTATTATGATTTTAAATTTCTTATCAGAAATAAAAAGATAACACTATTGCAGGTGTTCCTTTCTTTTAACTCCAAAAGCTTCCCACTTTTTTCACCTGTAAGCCGCTGTTTATTTTTTCATTGAACGGGAAACCATTGAAAGTGATAAAATGACAAATGTTTTCAATTGGACACACGTTTTTTTATTTCTAAAACCGAAACAAACGAAAGGTTTAGCGCTGACAATGGAGATTATGTGCTTATAATTCTCCCTTGGAAATCGACGAAAAAATGAAACTGTATTCATAAACTTTACTCCTCTGTGGGCTGGAGGCATGGGAGACCTTGACA